ATTTTTTTGTTGGACATATGTGGACTAATCGTGGGCAATCGAAAGCAATAAATAAAACTTAAAAATATTAAACTGGAGGAGCCATCTTCAGAGACCTAACATCTGTTTTTTCTAATTACAGACATAATAAACCATAATTATAAAACATGATCGTTGTTTTAATTAAGTTATATAAATAACAGTTAACATTTTCAGCGATTTTGCAATGCAAGTTTACAAGACATTTTAAGAAATTTTTTCTGTCATTATTTAGGATATTTTTCTGTTGTTTATTTTAATTATACACTCTTCTACACGAAGAGACCGAGCGTATTTTATTCTTTCGCATTGCAAAGTCCGAAAATAAGGAGAACTTTTTACATTATCTACTATTTTCTGCACTAATCCAACAAATATTCACAAAATTAGTAAAAAATTTTACTATCTCGCACAATATTAGCTATCAATGTTTCATACAGGAACACTTGCATGATCCTACACATGACAATTTTTAATTTTTAAGATGCTAAGGAACATTTGACATACATATGCTTGTTTTTTCGATATGTAAGGCTCCTAGAACACTGCTGGACAGAAAAATGTACTTATAAAAGTAAATAAATTATTTGAGGAAACTGCAAGATCCTTTACGGATTTCATACAGGATCCTTTACAAACAAGTACCTACAATTTACATTATCGACACAGCGCTTGGCAACCAACGTTGCGCCACTTCCGACAAGCGCCGCCAGAGTGCATGTTAGTGATTTCTTCTCGCTTGTGACCTGTTTCACTGGCTCTATAAGTACCTGCTCCTCTCTCGCAAAGACATTCACGTCATCCCTCCACTGTGAGATACGGTGAGGGAATTTTTATCAGTCTTTTACCTTTGTTTTACCAGAGGTGAAAAATTAAATTAATATGTTCTACTAATTAAAAAAAATATTTTTGAAAAATATATTTTTTAAAAATAAATTTAAATTAATAATTAAAAAAATTAATTTTCAAAACCTTGGTTTTTTGTTGGTTGTCAATAAAAAATCAAGCTTTTGAAAATCGATTTTGTTTCCTTGCCAATTCCTTGGCAACTAATATTGGCCCGATGCTTGGCTACCGATCATTGGCAGTAGCGTGATCATCCCAAGTTTAAACCATTGGTGGTCCAATGATGGTTGCCAATTGTTTTGCCAAGAAAAAACCATTGGGCACCAAGCATGGCCCATTATTGAACCAATCGTTACCATTGTCAACTTCCCGTTGGGTATAGTAATAATATGAATTTGAATAATACTGTATAGTCAATTAGCTATGTCACAATAAAAAACCGATTAATTAATTTTAACCACCCAACTCAATCAAAATACTGTTTAGGATCAATAAAATATTCCCTTGATAAAAAATATTTTCTTTTATTGTAAAGAAATCTATTCGATTAAAAAATTATGTTCTGATTCAAGGATAACCAAAGTTTTATGTACACGGAGAAAACTGGATGTTCAAAACACGGTGGTCTTCAAGCACTTTTAGGTTTACCTAAAATGAGTCAAAATTGTGCTAACGCAGTTTTATCTGGAATCGTCCCAAGATTCAAAATTTTAAAATTTTCATTTCCGAAAATCGTAGCTGATTCTTTTTTCGAAAAAAACATATATATGGGCAATTCCACGTGAGATTTTAGTCGACCTCTTAAAATCGGCAAAAAATATTTTTTTTCTATTCTGTATCGAAAAAAACAGATACGTATTTATTTATTTTTGTTTAATTGTCCAAATTTTCGAGTTATGAATTTTTGAAATTTTTGACTTGTAATTGTAGACCTATATTCAGTAGCTTATAATTCTGAAAATATTTAGTTTAGGAAAAAGTTGTCAAAGAATGAAAGTTTTAGTTTTCTTTTGACTTTTAAAAAATGTTTACAAAAAATTTTTTTTAAATTTTTTATTTTAATCTATTTCTGTTCTTTATTTTAAATTTAAGGGTCTACGCTGTAAACAGTTTTAAAAAGTTTATTGTAAAAAAAATCCCACTGTCGACTATAATCTCACGTGGAATTTCCCGTATATATGTTTTTTTCGAAAAAGAATCACCCAATGGGAAATGCCAGTGTAGTGCCGATGATTACCACTGGCTTAGTACTCAGACGATTGTTCGGCGTAGTCTAGCCGAGCCTCGACAATTAGTGCTGGCGCAGTACAGAATTTTTGTTTCGCCAAAGCTTGGACAAGCCATGGCGGCAAGTGCTGGCTCAGTATAGAAAAATATTGTTCATTCAAAAGATATAGATTTTACAAAAATGAACATTTTTTGTTTTAACTATTTTCCCCTAAAATTGTTAGTTTTCGAGAAAAATGCAAAAAACCATAAAATACCATAAAAATTGGTTAAAATATACTCTCAACTAAAAGGACATGTAATTTTAACAAAATAAAGTTTCTTTATGTATTTCGGTACGCTGATTACGAAAATCATAGTGAAAATTGGCTACTCGGTGATATTCATGGTAAAAACCATAAAAAACACCAAAAATATGGTTTTTTGCGATTAACTCGCAAAAAACGCAAAATTTCTGTATATACTAAAAATAGTAATTAAACTGCTCGTGTAAAAATTTCCGACCCTGGCCGTAACCCGGTTCGAAACAGGAAACCAGTTAAAGGCTCAGTCTGGCTTAAGCGTGCTTGATCAAGACCATGTGGGGCCAAACTCAAATTTTGATCAGACTGAAACTTAGTTTGCCCGGCTTCGTGATGTTCCGTCCCACCGGGCACTTTAAAAAGGGCTCTCCTGTCCTCGTCCTTTTTTACGTATAGAAAGAGAGTCAAATTGACTTTCTTGTTGGTATTAGAAGGTACTTAACCCGGACCCAATGCCCCTCCAACGATTCCCTTTAAAAAAGCCCTTTTTAAAGTGCCCGGTGGGACGGAACATCACGGAGCCCGGCTTCGCTCCTGTCCTCGTCCTTTTTTACGTAAAAAGAGAGTCAAATTGTCTTTCTTGTTAGTATTAGAAGGTACTCAACCCAGACCCAATGCTCCTCCAACGAAAATATATATATATATATATATATTTTATACGAAAAAATTTGAAAGTTTATTAAATGTTTAGTTTTTAACTGATTGATGTTATTTACATAATACTAACGAAAATAACGCGCGTGTGTGGCTTCTTTTTGTATGGTACATAAACATAGGGGAAACCGGGGCTGAGAGAAATGGATTTTAATGGTTAGAAGTAGATGTTATCAGGTACCATCATTATGTTACTGAGTTACTGAGTAAAAAATGTTATGTTACCGACTACAATCAAGATGTTACTCAGTACAATCTGGATTGTAACTGATACAATCTAAATAGCTGTCCGTATTTGTAGCATATCAAAGATATGCCCCATACAATCATTATGTTACCCTGTGACATATTTTTCTCTGTGTACTGAAGATTTTTTAACATTAGTTATGAGATAAATTGTTCTTTTCCGGTTAACAGCATTTTATCGAGTCACAGTTGTGAATTAATCGATCATTTTATTAGTTAAATTAAATAAATTATAAATTTTTTCGTATCGATTTTTTAAAGAATCGATTCGTTTCAACTACGATTTGATTCAAAAATCGAACATCCCTCTGTTAAAAATCGGTTCTAATCGTGACAGTTCTCCGTGCAGAAATTGCCCTAACCGGGCCGCCCTGACCCCGCATGAAACAGGGTGTCCGACCAGGCCCAGGCCGCTTTTATTGTTTCACCCCGTTTTAGGGGAGCCCGGTCTGGATCCGGCCAGGGCCCAACACGGGTTGGGTAAAACACGAAGGTGGAATTGGTTCAATTACGGAAATTAACCAAGTAAAAAAACAATAAAATATTTAAGGACTTAAAAAAGTTTTTCGTTTAAACATCAAAATAGCTTTTACATTGTATGCTGAAAAGAACTTACGTTTCAAATCCTACATGAGACTTTGTGATATGATGCAATACGCATAATATAGTCTACATAAAATATAAAAATCAGAGCTCTAAATTGTTTATAAGATAATAAGATTTATGTCATCAAGAAAAAACCAGACAAATGATTATAGTTTCCATCTTTAATACATTTCAATTAATGAGAGGAATATTTATGTGAAAGTTTATTCATAGCATATTTACTCTTTTTTACTTATAAATTTCCCATGTTAAATGATGCGTTTACAATCACTTTATCGTAATTGAAACAACTAATAATTTAATTTTTAAATTTTAATTAACATTAGAATTAATAATAGATTTTTAAATTTAAACTATTTTTTTCTAAATAAGGTTTTTGGTTTGCAATTACACTGGAACCCCCGAGGTTTGGACTGCTATGTAATGGTGTCCAAACTTCGGAGGGGACACCTTGACGCCTGAAAGTATAAATATTCAGGGCCGTACGCTTCATTAAAACGAAGATGCGCTTAATGAATATTACATATTCAATGACAATTTTGTTGTCAATTTATTAAAACATAATTGAAAAACATTGTTTTTAATTTTTTATATTTATAATTAACAACTGATTCACAAGATTAAATTTATTAACAAGTTTTTCAAAAGAGCCACAAAACGGTACACTTTATGCAAACGCTACTGCTTCTAATTCAACGTTTGTCCGCGCTTCCCGCCGACCCCTCACTCTACTTTGTCTATACTCTATGTCAAAACAATCCAAACTTCGGGAGTCCAAACCTCGGGGGTTCCAGTGTATAAGGAAATTATTTTTAACCAAAAGCGGTCATGAAACATTTTGTTTTGCAAAAAAGTAATTTTTTTGCTTAAACCATAAAATATTTGTAAAAAGTGCAAAAAAAATCGTATAAAAAATTTTAAAAATACGTATTTCTTTATTTTTCAAGTAGAATATCATATTTCATTGTGAAAATAATTCGCAATATATCATCGGACTGACTGCATGATTTGATATGGAGCTGATCTAGGCATTTATTTAAGAAAGAAGTAAAGTTATTTGGAAAGAAATAGTAGAAAAATGGGTTTAAAAATAATGTTTACCTTACGACAGAATCGGGTACAAAGATGTTCCACCATGATGGTCTCTTTTGTCTAGTATGAAGGCCTTCAGTGCTGCCAACATCAGAGGGGACACTTGTGGTGCCCTTTCTCCTTTTCCGATCGGCCTTGGGAGGCTTAGCAAGTGGATGCCACGACTTCCTTCTTCCCTTTTTCATTTCCCGATCAATCGCCTTCTGATCCTCGAGATCAATATCACGATTCTCCTCTAGAAGATCCTGCGACACATAAAATACGGAACCACGTCTCGCACTACTCTCACTACTCCTGCGCTTCTCTTTTTCCTTTTCCTTCTCCTTTTCCTTGCTCTTATCCTTTTCCTTGTTTTTCTTCTCCTTCTCATGTGACATGGAATTTTCTTTGTCCTCGAATATACTGCTACGTCTTGCACGTTGAAAGAGACTGTCACGTTTCGCTTTCAAATCATCAAAAACACTGTGCCGACGTGCTTTATTGTTTCTCAATATAACAACGGGCTCCTTCATTTTACCATCGTCGATTGATTGACAACTTTCGACCAAGGATGGAATCGAATTTGTTGATGCGAACTTGCCGCCTTTGGGGCAAGTATTGTTGCTATCGTCGCTGATGTACATCCTGCTTTCCATAATACGACGGCAAATAAATTCAACCGGAGGATGTGTTCTTCCTCGAAGAATTGATGTAGAGGGAAGAATTATTCAGGCTCGTCCGCCTTTTAAACTCTACGGCTTGTGTCGCATATTATTCTGAGGGAAATCAGGTTTCAATTTTAGAGCGGCTTTAAACTCAACTTCCGAGAAAATTGCTTTTTAAAAGAAAACAATTTCAAGCATCGGACGAGTGACAAATATTTTTACCTCGTATTTTTAAGGCGTTTTTTAGGAACACGAAAACTCAATAATCTCAACTATTACTGTTAAATAATATTGAATTCTTTCACAAAATTTACTTAATAAATAGTAATCTTTATTTTTTTGACTACTTGAAATATTGTATCAATAAAAGAACTAAAGACAGATAAAAAAATAAATGTAACATAAATTTTCAACAAGTTACTGCATTATATCAAGTGCTGCTTCAACTAAAGAGAAATTTGTTGTTATATAAAAAAATATAAATTGTGCAGTTTAGAAAAGTCAATTTTCTCGGTTTCTTACAATATAAATTGAAAAATATTATTGTAGTCTAAATGTTTGTAAACTTTGAAAAAAAACAGATTAAGTAGCTTCTTCTTGTAAAACAGATAATCCGCTAATAATAAATTATTGATAAATTTAGGTTCACATATAGTTTATTGTTGTACAGTACTTTAATATTGTTGTAACAGAACAAATTTTTTATTTCTTTCTCTACGATTTCAATTGACAGAAATACCAATTTTTGTTACATTTGGTTTTAATTAATAAATTGATCTAGGTTAATTAATTTGATTTCAATTTAATTTTATAATTAATTTGAATCAAGAGTAAATAATGAAATTGAAAAACTTTGAAACTTAATGAAATAACCTTCATCAAAATTTTAATGTGTGTCTCATCATGAAAGTGTGTTTCTACTTAAGAACTCAGAGTTTTACTCGTGAAAACTTTTACGCAAGAAAAACTTTTTTCAACTCAAAAAAGCATTTAAAAATATCCGAAGTTTCACATTTAGACTTCACTATATTTTTAATTAGTGTGAATATTTATTTTCCTCTTCTAAATGTAGCAACATTTTTTTGTTTAATCAGAAAGAAAAAAAAAGATGAAAAAACATTTTAAAACGTTTAAAAAGTCTCCAACACTGATAATTAGTGTTATATGGTGAAAGCAGCCTCTCAGCACGACCGCCTTTTCACTTCATGTTAGTCCAAACAACAATCTCGCTAAAGAATCTAGAGTTTTCAAGAGCAAAAAAAACGGAACTTTATTCCTCGATTTTTGCAACCTTTTTCTCTACATGCATTAAAGCAATTATTTACTTTGCATTAGATTTCCGAACATTTTATTTTTATTGAATTAAAGAAAATTTCAATTTTTTTTATTAATATTTGTAAAATAATGTTAAAAAATGTTTTATTTATAGAAAGTCAACACTCACGTATGTAACTAATTTTTTTCTGTGCGTATATTTATTAATATATCCTCAAGTGTGGAATTAATACATAAACAAAAATATATATATATATATATATATATATATATATATTAACGACAAAAGCACGTGTTTCAATGACACGGAACTTCGCTTATTCGATCACCGATAGAGATTATTAATACATTTATATACACTCGCCTTTTATCAAACAAGTTGCAACCTTTCAACCACCGGCTTGATTGCAGTCGAATAATCTTTAATCCCGTTTGGATAATCCAATTTATTGACCCCAATGTTGATCTCTTTCCTTTCGAATTCACCGCAATCTTTTTTATTTCGATTACTACTTTTTAATAATCAAATATTTATTTTGGTAGTTTTTTTAATCCCGGTAATTTTTAGTATATTTAGAAATTTTATTAATCATTTCTTGATTACAGAATATTTCTAGTAACTCTGTATAGTTCCTTCTTTTGTACCTCTAGTATTTTTTTAGTGATTCCTGTAGTTTTTCAATAAATGCTGTTGCCTTTGGACACTTCAAAAGGGTATTTATTGATTTTTTTACTTTTTCACAGTATTTTTTTTAGTTTTGTAAAGGACTTCATAATGTTTCCAGTAATTTCAATAGTTCTTTCAGTAACTGCAAATTGGCTGTCATCAAAATTTTTCTATATTCTCCAGTAGGTTTTGTAGGAACTCCATCATTTTTACCTTTTTTATTTTAAAAATGACTCTCTTATTTTCTCGTTTTTGTCGAATTCACTACTTTAGTTATCAAATTCATAAGTTTCTTGTAAATTACTTTCCTTGGATTGAGTATCACTTGAAAAAATCTCTTTCGCTAGATTTTGCACAAATTTTTTATATTGTTATAAATTTACATATTGAAAGAAGGAAAATATTCAGAGAAAAAATTGTTTATTCCCTGATTTTGAATGTAAAGGAACGAGAGGAATTTTCATCGATTACTAACGATATTTTCACCGCCGATCGACCTCGCAATCGGCGAATGTGAAATGCACTGAGTTGGCGACATCGGTGAGTCGCTGTAATGGCATAAAGCGTGAAATGCTATGTAGAAAACACTTTCCGAATTGCACACTAACAATTAACACAAACACATACACACACATTTATATACACGCACACGCGATTTGTCGCGGTTCAAGTTGAAGGTTGACCGAATAAATTTTTTTTCATTTGGCAAAAAATTCTTTACTTATAAAAGTAATGAACCAATTTTGGGCAATATTGGGTTTGTTATTTTATTTATTTTTCGAATTTGAAAAGAGGAAGGGCAAAACGTGAAATCGTCGTTTCGTTTCGAACATGAAATACAGAACTAAGAAGCAGCAAGCGAGGCCGCTTGTATTTATACAGTGAGAACGTAGACAGTCTCTTTGCTTCGATTCTCTCTCTCGCACTCGTGATACTGTCATCTTTTTTACTCATGTTTTATAAGAGAGTCTCTCCTCTCTCTTTCACGTGGACGATACTGTAACGTACGTGTGTTTGAGTGAATACAACAGCTCGCACTCCCACTCATTATAGCTTGAGGAAACTATATAGGTTCGTTGAATTTGTGAAATGGTATTTACAATGTTGCCAAACGAATAGTATTTCTGCCTGCTTGTCAATTTAGGGATGATTATTAATGTGTTCTTCTCTCATTTGAAAATATAGAAAAAAGTATGTAAAAACAAGTCATTCATTAGTTGACATAAATATCATTTTTTTCACGAGATTGAAAATATGGTTCAAATTTTTGACCATATAAACTATAGTTTTATTTTTTATAGAAATTGGCTTTCAAATACTTAGTTAAATTTCTACATTTAAATAATCCATTAATGAAAGTTTTCAATTACGATCGATTAGTTTCTTTCAAAATAAATGTTTTTTATTTTTTGTAAATGTATTCTCTAAATCTGAATCAGTAAAATTTCACAGATTCCTGCCCAAAGGGGAATTTACAACTGGCTGAGTACTGCGCCAGCACTGGCAGTACTGGCAGCTACGCTGACAGACAGCACTGGCATAACTCTGGGATGATAACGCTGTCTAACGCTGGCGAAGTACTGCCTGCCAGTGCTGCCAGACAGCGCTGGCGCAGCACTGGACCAGTGCTGGCTGAGAATATTGCCACAATAAATGCCGTATTGTTATTAATTAGTCGAAAATTAATAATTATAAATAATTTAACAACAAAATGGTAAATAATATTTATAAATAGTTATTATTCATAAAATATTTCTCTTCTTAAAGACATTGTATTAAATATGGAGACTAACAATGGAATGAAGTAAATGAAGTAGAAAAAAATTGTTTATAACATTTAAAAATTAAATAATAAACAATTACAGTAAGTGTGCATTAGATTTTCATATTTTAGTACCTAACGATTGGAATCTAGAAATATCGCAAACATATGAAAATAAACAAAATTGCTGACGAGCGGAATCGAACCTACGACCTACGGACTAACAGACTAACGCTCTAACCACTATGCTAAGGACACATGTGTACAGTAAAGTATTAACATCTCAGTATCATTCAGCCATACAATTATTGAGTCAGAGATGAGAAAAAAATAGGGATACGTTAGAAATAATAAATTGAAATAAAATAAATTAAAGTAAATTTTTAATAATTAAATTAAATTACTTTACTTATTGCATTTAACATTTTACGTAATTCTTAAATTACGTGGTAATTTTTTAATAATTTTTTATTCATAGTAAGAAGTATAATAGTATTTTAATAGGATCCAAATTATTATTAAGATTAAAGTTTAAATTTTGTTTATAATTTAAATTTGTTTAAATAATTTATTATTTACAAAATTAGACAATTATGTTAAATTATTATAATTAAATTTAATAAAAATAAAAAATGAACAACTGAAAAGTAAAATATTAATTTTTTCAATAAATTTATATTTATAATCATTCATAAACTTTTTTTATAATTTTTTTCAAGTTTATGTCAAAAAAGCAATGTTGGAAAAGAGCGTTGTGAACAATTTTTCTATACTCAGCCAGCACTTGCCGCCGTGGCTTATCCAAGCTTTGGCGAAACAAAAATTCTGTACTGCGCCAGCACTAATTGTCGAGGCTCGGCTAGACTACGCCGAACAATCGTCTGAGTACTAAGCCAGTGGTGAACATTGGCACTACACTGGCATTTCCCATTGCCCCAATGGGAAATTTACAACTGGCGGAGTACTGCACCAGTACTGGCAGTACTGGCATAACTCTGGGATGATAACGCTGTCTAACGCTGGCGAAGTACTGCCTGTCAGTGCTGCCAGACAGCGCTGGCGCAGCACTGGACCAGTGCTGGCTGAGAATATTGCCGCAATAAATGCCGTATTGTTATTAATTAGTCGTAAATCAATAATTATAAATAATTTAACAACAAAATGGTAAATAATATTAATAAATAGTTATTATTTACAAAACATATAGTAAATGAAGTAGAAAAAAATTGTTTATAACATTTAGAAATTAAATAATAAACAATTACAGTAAGTGTGCATTAGATTTTCATATTTTAGTACCTAACGATTGGAATCTAGAAATATCGCAAACCTATGAAAATAAACAAAATTGCTCACGAGGGGAATCGTATGAGTCTCGTTGAAACGTGAACGTCGTAAAATTTCTGTTTTTACTCTCTAAATCTGAATATGTGAAATTTCACTTATTGTACGTTATAAGTCGTCCTCTCGATCAATAAGTGCATATGTGACGCGACACGAGAAAAGGGACCTATCGCCGCAAAAGAGAATTTTACAGGGAGAGCGTTTAAAACGACGCCATGCGCAGAAAACCCGTGTATTTACGCGTACATGCTTAACTTTCGGGCTTTATATTATTAACACTATTGAAGTTTTTCAACTTTTGATTTTTTCACGTGAAAGAGCAAAGAATAATCTGTCGAATAGCACCATAATCTCAAAATCGATTTTTTTAACGATAGGTCCCTTTTCTCGTGTCGCGTCACATATACACTTATAAATAAGTGAATTTTTCACTTATTCTGAGTGAAATTTCACTTATTATAAGTGTATATGCACTTATTGATCGAGAAGACGACTTATAACGTACAAATATGTGAATTTTCACATATTCAGATTTAGAGAGTAAATGGTCGAGAAATTTTTTTCTCAGGGTGTTAAAATCATCGAAATTAACCATTTTAAATTCGTAAAAATCGTTATAATTATCTTTATATGTGGACGTCCACATGAAAAGGGCCCATTTTGGCACTATTGGAGTTATCTATATGGGCGTATTCCTGGCAAAATTTGGAAAATTTTGAGTGGTCTTAGAACTTTTTTGGTTAAAAATTCGCTGAGTTACGGAATTTCAAAGTTTAGAACGCCAAACACCTCATTTCGAGAAAAACAGAATTAAAGATTGCGATACCAACTAATTGTTGTATCTCTGGTTCTTCTTGGAAGTTATTCAGATAAGAATTGTTTCCAGTTCAGGGCACCTTGAAGATAAAAAACCAACAGGATGTAAATTTTTAAAACCATCCCCCCTCTTAATTTTGAAAAATTTCGTACTTAAGTACTAAAAATCGACAATATGGGCCCTTTTCTAAAAAGGAGAATTTTTCTATTAAAAAACCATTTTTATACAATATTAATGATAAGGTACAATTTTATTGTATAATTTGAAGAAAAGGAATATATATTAAACTTATTAAAAAATTTTTGACAGTCTCTATTATGAAAAAAATGACGCAATATCCAAATTTTCATTTCGAAAATTACAAAAAAAAGACTCTAACATCAATATCTCTGGTTCTTCTCGGAAGTTATTCAGATAAGAATTGTTTACAGTCCAGGACACCTTAGAGATGAAAAATCAAGAGGTTCTAAATTTTTCCACACCTCGATTTTTAAAATAAGGATTACTTTTGCAAATGACCGACAAAATGGGCCCTTTTCATTTTTTTAAAGGACCAATGAAATCAAACAGTTAAATTATCGATATAAATTAATGAAAACCGCATGATTCGACTTGTCAAAACATGTAGATCGATAATAAAAAATAAAAAAGAAATTAAGATTTTGCTCCAAAATTACTAAATTGCGATTATCTCGAAATCTGGAACCGACAATATGGGCCCTTTTCATGTGGACGTCCACATATATCGTACAATAATATTCCAAATGAATATTATTAATATTGTGCTTTAAAAAATTTTTTCATTAACGTTTAAAAAATTGTGTCTTGGCCCTAAGGTGGACACTTTTTTGGCCACAAGGTGGTCACTTTTGATTTTTTATGAAAATGTGTTTATACGCTACATTTATCAACATTTATCACTGTGAATGTGAATTTTATCAATTTTTAAGTTTTTTTTTTCTTGGAGAGTACAGTTAAGGAGTCTAACTTTAATTCCATTTAAATGGGAAATTGATTTTTTTTATTTAAGTGCATAATAATAGACGTTAAAAAAGGGTATGTTTTTTTGACATAAACAAATGGAATAACTCGGCCAATTTTCACTTTATCGATTTCGTGTAAAGGGCATTTGATTTCATTTGTTTTCACAAAACTTTTCCAAAAAAAAAATCCGATCTAACTTCAAGAGGTGGAGAGTTAACTTTTTTTAAAAAAAAAATTCCTGACAAGTTAATTATTAATGTTTTTTATTGAAATTCGCACCACTTACAGTTTGATACATGTATTTTATGTAAAAAAATTAAACATAAGGTTTTGTGCATTTTTTTTTTAATTTATAACAAGTAAAAGTAAATGTATCCATTTTTCAACCTCTGAACGGCGGAGTGGGGGTACTCGGAGGAGCGTGATTCTCGCCGCCACAACTGAATTCAGCTGTTCAAATTTGCAAAAATGGCCATAACTTCGTTAATTATTTACCGATTTTTATCTTTCTTTTTTTAATTTGATGTATTTTTTTACGCCGAATCCAAAAATGATTTTATATGTTTTCAAATTACAATATTTTTAATAATAAAAAAGAAAATTTTTTTAACAACAAATTTTTAATTATTATTTATCATATTTGACAAAAAATTCTTTTCGTACATATAATTCCATTAAATTTAAAATAATATTATGACATAAAAAAATTAAAATTAATTATATATATAAGCTTGTAGCATCAGGTACACATATGCACGCCTGTTCAACTATCAATACAACAATGCTACACACTTATAAGTAAATAATTTTATTTTTTTTATGTCATAATATTATTTCAAATTCAATGGAATTATATGTACGAAAAGAATTTTTTGTCAAATATGATAATAAATAATAATTAAAAATTTGTTGTTAAAAAAATTTTCTTTTTTATTATTAAAAATAT